CCGTATATAGAAACTGAAATACAAGTTAGAAGTAAGAGGCGCGCGGAAAACGGAAATGCATACCGCGAGATAATAGCGGACACTGAGCCGGCTTCTCTCTCGTTGGCGTCAAGCTCGTGACTCCAGAGTTCCTGCATGTCAGAGTCATCCCGTTCGTACCGCTCGCAGTCTCGGAACAGCTCATCGGATGCATGCTCGCATGTCAAAACCCCTTTACAACCTAGTTGCACTCGACGTGCACGTACCCTACTGCCACCGAACGCATAGACCCATACATCACCCTCCTTTCGACCCGTGGAGCCATCCCACGCGTCTTGGTCCTGTAGACACGATAAGCACTGAATATATAGCTATGTAGCGGTCCGCTGACCTCTGCCCGTAGATAAGCGTCGACTGTACGCTTCTTCCTGTGTTTGTCGAGGAGGACATGCGGAGTCGCCGACAGGTCAAGAATGTACGCACTCCCGTCACGTGGAATATCCCAAGATTTCGGAGCCGCAGTCAGTGGGATGAGATTGTCGACAGAGAGCTCCCGGGTGATCTTCACCCCTGCCTTCCCTTTCCCCTTGCCACGAGCTAAAACAAGTCAGAACACAAGATAGTATGAAATCAGGACATACGAACACTTAACGGGCTTTACAGCCTGGTGAGGCGATGGAGAACGCGACGACGGTAGCGAGATAGCGCCCGCTCAACGCGCTGGTGCGAGAGGCCGCGTGTCGCCTGAGGCGATGGAGAGCGCGACACGGGGAGTGACAAAGCGCCACGAGAAGAAATTGATTGTGAGCGATGCACGGAAATGCTGGGGGAAAAGGGTGCGGTTTCAGGTGTTGGAGAACGTGATGTGGGCCGTGAAAAGGCACCGCGTGACGAAACAGAGCGCGAACGAAAGTCAGACATCGCAGCAATCGACTGAGCGCGACTGCTCGACGAGAACGGTGGGCTGGTGCCTCGAGACGAAGGGAAACGGGCCGAAGATGGGCTGGAACGAGACAATGACCGTCCTCTGTCTTTGGGCTGCGGTTGGAGTCGCATCCAAGCATCGAAAGGGGCTTGCGCAACCCACTCCCGTGTACGGCCAAGATCAAAGAACGGGTTCTTGATGTACAGCGGAGAAATCACCTACATTGGACAAATATTAGTCAGGGTTCCTAGGCAGTATAATCGGCACATACAGCTTCTCGGTATGCCTGCAAGTGCTTCAACTTCGCATTCTCGGGCAGGAAGTAGGCAGGTCTGCTGGCGTCGCAGTCTTGCCAGAGAACGAAGCCCTGGCCGGTCATCCATTCGGCTGCTGACTCCACGGAGAAGTAGGGTATGTGGTGCGGATCGGCCAGTGCAGCAGGGAACATCTTCACCAACATGAGAGCAAGAAGAAATAAAGAGATAGAGCACCCACCTCGCTTCGGTAGGCTTCAATGTCTGAGACCGTGAGGTCGCCGGCCCCTTCGAATAGACTGTCGACATCTAGGACAAATGCTTGAGTACAGCCGACATAGGAAGGAGGCAACCAACCGTCAGCAAAAGTGGACATTGATGTGCGGCGCCTGCTCCGAGTCCACAAGAACTTAGAAGACTACAAACGAGTGAGTTTCCGAGAAAATGGACAGATTTTATACCTGTTAGAGCGGTGTTCCGCGAAGATGACGAAGTTGCAAGCCAGTCCAATATATGGCCAGCTGAGCATGCCTCATTGTCGGAAAGAGAGCACAAGTAGCGCCGCAGTGCTGGTGAATGCCTTAATGGGAGCCATTCGGCGCCGTTTTAGGCATGGCTTGCCGACAAGATCACGCCAAGATGTGGTGAGACAATCAGCAGCTCGGTGGTGGTGCTGCATGTTGCGTCTAGAACAAGCGATAAGAGGAAGATGGTGGTCTGGATAAGAGATGCGGCGATGCGCTGGCAGGCTGATGGCTGATCGGACTTGACAGGTGATCTATTGAATTACGGCTATCGATGCACATGACAACACAGATCCGGCACGTTGCAATGCCACGAAAGTAGGACTGAGCCCAGCGATGAAATGTAGGACTCGGGGACATCAAAGTGGGACTCAGTCCTACTTTGGGAGCCCCACTCCTACTATTTTCGTTACTCCTCATTTAGTGCAGCATATCATCCCCCACTTTCATCACTATTTCACATGAATCTTCGCATAATTTGTTGGTAATACTCATGACCTGCAGACACACAATTCATCGAAATTGTACAGTAAATTCATGCATTTCTATGGTGATTATATATTTATTCAATGCGGCGACGCTTGCTTGCCCCGCCCCGTTCCATTGGATCCACCTCCTTTCCCTTTCGCTTGGCCGAAACTGTATCCTCGGTGTCAGAGAACTGGAGCAGGTCGTCATCGTCGTGATGGTCATCGTCGTCATGGTCATCGTCAATCGCAGGTCGGGAAGGGCCTGGGCTGGGCGAAGTTGTGTGAGGATGGTGGTGGGGAGGGTGAGGACATGGACATTGCAGTTCGTCGTTTGGCTGCCTCACGACCACGGTAGGTGTCTTCGTTGCCGACACAGTTACGATAACTCTTGATATTGTCCCAGCATTCCTTCGCGATGCGATATGTAGCCCAATGACGAGCACCGCGCTTGAAGACAGGAAAATCTTCTTCAAGCTGACAACGGTTAATGATGCAATAAGGGACTTCAGGGTTATAACACACCGCACGGATAGCTCTTCCGATCTTCTCATGGTCCTGGGATTTCCAAGGCTGCTTGAAGTCCAGGCGGGCGCTGATGAGCTTGTCGCGCATAGATAGCTGAAGGGTTTACAAATGAGCGGTGTGGCAGCGCCAAAAGAAGGCACTTACACGGGCTCCATTCCACTCGAGCTTCCCTGTGATGCCCATGAGACGTCGAACTTCTGCAATCTTCATTTTGGAAGGGTTTCGAGGCCGAGGGACAGTGTCAGTGGTCGCTGCTTCGGATATGGCCGTGGTGTTGGTTGCATCTCGGAGGCGTTCTTCAGTCTCCCGAATATGGATGTCTCGTTCCGCCAGCCGCTCGTCTTGGCGCTTGACGAGTGCTGACCATTGTAAGTGGAGGTGTAAACGGGAGTTGAATGACATACCTTCGAGCTCTTCGATACGCGCAAGCTGATTGTTGCTTTCAGCCTGTGTCTTTTTCGATGGACGAGCTTGGGAGTTCTTGCTGCCATGGGAGGAGCGCTGGTTCTCCTTGTTCTTGTGTCCCGCCTTCTTTTTAGGATTATCGGAGGGCATGTTAGTTCAGTTGGAGGCTGAAAAACGTGTAGTAACGCACCTTTATACCGCCCACAACAGGTAAGCGAGAGTGGAGCGAGTGGGGCACTTGCGTCATATGTTATCCAGCAAAGCAGTGAGTTCTGACTGCTGCTTGTCGACCCAAAGGCCCATCCCGCATGCATAAAAACTCGTCTTGAGGCCTGGGAGGGGTTGAATGGCGTCGAAGAAGCTTGGAGATGGAGGGAGAAGGCAGGAAGAGCGATGAGTCAGCGGGGCTGTGCTGGTTCTCATGGGCCCCACTGCTATCGCGTGACGCCATGACCGCGATTTCGCGACGCAAAGTCCCCTGCACACTCACTACCATGGCCCACAAAGTATACTGTCCTTGCTGCGGCAACTATGTTGACTCTGGAACGAAATCCCGACACATGGCTGGTGGTGGACACATTCATACCAAGATACTCGCCGCCGAACGCCTTACACGACGGATGCTCAACAAATTTCGCCTGCGGAAGCGCCCGCCGGACTCAGGAGACGATGGAGATGAACCTGCAACAAAGTTACCGCGTCTGGGTGCGTCTAACACCTTTTTATTTCCATTCGTCATCTAACTTGAAGACAGATAACATCAACTTGGATGGTGTCGGCGACGACATTACAATGCCCGACTCTCAACTGCATGCTGCAGCTTCGGAGGCTCCCCCAGATGCCTCACATTCCCCCGGGACACTTCCTGCTGACCGCCGCCCCCGCGTTTTCGATGCCGACAGCATTTCATCGAAAGACAGCAATTCGGATGACGATGAGAAGCTTGTCATGGCAAATGAGGCCGATGATGAAGAGGCGGATTTAGACTGCTCAAAGCTAGACCATGTCTCATTGACTGCTGGGGAGCTCCTCGAGCGGGAATTTGTGTCTGAAGATTGGCATCGTGGTGAGTACAGCATGTTCGTTGCGCAACTTCAACTGATTTTTGAAGCGGAACGGCTCACTAATGAAGAGTTACAGTCCGTCCGGGCCCATAACTTCAAAGTCAATGTGGACCTAGGCTCTCGCGCATATGAAAAGATGAAGAAGGCGTTTCCCCAGCTCGCTGACCTCCCTTCTCTGCGACAACTCCATTCAGAAATCACGAATATTTCAGGTGTTAAGCCTGTAAAGTACCACTGCTGCAAAAAATCGTGTTGCTGTTTTGTGGGCTCTTACGAAGCCCTTGACGCCTGTCCGTACTGTAAAGAGGCACGATACGACAGCCACGGCCGTCCTCGGGCTACCTTCGATTATCTCCCGCTCATTCCACGTCTTCAAGCGCTCTTTGCCGACAAGAGCATGTGCCAAAAACTTGGATACCGCGCAAAACTACAAGTCCGAAGGTGATTTCATCCGGGATATTTTCGACTCCCTCCACTATCGCCGCCTCAAACAACGTCATGTTTGTGTGGAAGATATCATTTATGACCACCGTTTCTTTGACCAGCCCACCGATATTGCGATGGGATTGAGTGCGGATGGTGTCTGTCCATTCAAGAACCGTAAGGAGACATGTTGGCCACTCATCGGGGTGATCTATAACCTCCCTCCTGACACGCGCTTCCTCATGGATGAAGTTCTGTGTTTTGGTGTCATCCCAGGACCCAGAGCTCCAAAGGACATTGATTCCTTCCTCCTCCCGCTGCGGAACGAATTTTGGCAGCTCATGCGTGGTGTCGCCACTTACAGCGCGGAAAAAGACGACGAATTCTTACTCCGCGCTTACCTCATACGCGTCTTCGGCGACATGCCCGCTATGGCGAAGCTCATGCGGATGAAGGGCCCCAATGGACTTCGCCCGTGCCGCACCTGCAAGATCCTTGGTATTTCCGGCGAAAATAACACGCACTATGTCCCCTGCTTTCGCCACGATGGCGAGTCCTACGATCCATTGGATCTCCCGCTCCGAACTCATGATGAGTTTATTGATGATGCAGTCTCGGTCGAGAAAGCGACAACAAATGCTGAGGCAGAGCGTCGGGCGAAGGACACCGGCATCAACGGGCTCCCCGTTCTCGCTACCCTGTCAAGCCTTGAGTTTCCAGCATCGTTTGGTCACGACCTCATGCATTTGATTCCCGAGAACGTCGTCAAGAACTTGCTCTCACTCTGGGGCAACTTACAAGAAGCTCGATGTTGGGACGGGGGACTATATTCTTCAGCCAAAGGTGGTTGAGGACATTGGTCGCGACTGTGTTGCTGCTGGGGATACAACACCGACCGCCTTTGGCGCACGTGTTCCGAATATTGCGACACAATTGCATTACTTTACCGCCGAATCTTATACCCTCTGGACAACACTATTGGCGCCAGTCGTTCTTCGCGGCCGTTTCCCCCACAAACGGTACTACGATCATTTTCTGGGCCTCGTAGATATCTTTAACGACTGCCTCTCCATGTCACTGTCGCGCGAGTATGTTGACAATGATTTACGAGCTCGGATTGGAAAATGGGTGACGGACTACGAACGGTTGGTTTTTTTTTTGTGCTTTTTATTGTCATTTCTAAATGATATCTAGGTACTATTACCAATACGACGAGTCCCGTCTCTCTGCATGTCCATTGACAATACATGCCTTGCTCCACATTCCGGATGACATTCTAAATGGTGGGCCGATGTGGACATATTGGAATTATATCACAGAGAGGTTTGTGGGGCATCTTGTGCGCTCGAGCAAGAGTCGCCGGAACCCATATGCCAGCTTTTCTCGACGCCTCCGCGAAATCGCCCAGAACACCGCAATCAAAGTCAAATATCAGCTTTACACTGAGCTTGACTTGTCACCATGGCACGAGGAAGAGCTCTCGGGCCATGTGGTGGCTGGATGTGCGTGAATTTAGCCCTGCGTGTCCAGTCTAATACGTTCCAGATAATGGCATCCGTGTTTTACGGCCGCGGGCTACTGGTCCCCTCTCAAATCGGCTGACCACAGCTGTCAGTGAGCATATTCAAAACAGATATCGTGTATCGCCCGCGGTTGCGTTGCAGTCCCTCCCTGATGATTTTACCCACTGGGGACGAATATCGTTCCTTGCGTCGGGGGGTGACAAGATGCGTGGTGCGGATTTGGTCCACCATTCCGAGGGCTACATGACTCGGGATGCGTCATTTGTTAAGGCAAGTCATTTTCTGTACTGGACTCTTGGACTTATTCCTTTTAGTACTCGCACGATGTTGATACAAATGCTCATCATTCGCGCCAAGCACGAGTTGATGAGCGACAGGTGGCCTATGGACAACTCCTCCGCCTTCTCGAATTCACCATCGCTCTTCCACCTGAGTGTGACACGGCCTCCTGTCCGCTCCTTCTCGCCGCCATTCGCCCAGTGAAAGAGCCCAAGAAAAGCCCATACCCGTTTCCAGTCTATCAGGACGGCCAATTCCGGCCAATCGAGGTTATTGACGTTGACGATTTAAGCTGCTTGGTTGCACGTGTACCAGCAAATCGCCGTGGCCCACTTGTCTACGCACTGTATGAGCGCCTAGACTCAATGGGATCTGCTGTAGAAGCTGAATAAAACCATTTACATGCATTGCGATTGTATTTGAACTTGAGCATTGAGAATATATATGTATTTGAGGAGCATAACTACATCTACAGGATTGGGTAGTGTCCGAGACGACGAGTTACGCCACGAGAACCACGCTGCCGAGCGATGGGGGTAGGTAGCACATATAGTGTGGGGTCACGAGCCTTCATTTCCTGAAAGGTTCGGTTGAGGGATGGTGCAAGAATGGGGTCAGTCTGGATGGTGTAGGTGCTGGAAGTTGAGTACGGAGGAGAGGGAGGGGAAGGGAATTGCAGTTGTTGTGAGGCTACCCAGACTTAGTGGTGAATTTGCACAAAAAGGATGATACACGCACGAGGATGATCTTTCAAGAACTTCAGCTCTGTTTCTAACGCGCCAACCCGACTCTCTAACGTGGTGATACACTTCCGGGATTGTTCAATTTCATCTTTCTGGTCTCGAATAAAGTTTTCGATGGCGGTAAATGGTGTCCGACTCGGTTGTTGCGAGGACTGTGAGGCCTCTTGCAATCGATGGTTGTGATTCTCCTCTCTGGCCCGCTGTCGCTCCCTCTCCGGCTCTGAGTCGGAGACATGGGTAGTTGTGGATAAGGAGTGTCGGATTGTTCGTGGTCGTTTCATGGAAGAAGTGTGTGGAGCTGACGATATGATGTCATTTGACATAACACCCACTTATTCACCCCATAAGTTTTCATATAGAAATACCATGAATTTTCGGGATGCCAGACCCCACATTTCGAGTACATGAAATAGGTATATGAAATGGTAGGTGCATGAATATATTTTCATAGTTTTATAGGATGAAATGGGAAATTCATGCGGTGGGAGTATGAAACTCATCCTGTTTGCGACTCACAGTGCCGGAACAGGAGAGAGGAAACGCACCTGCCCGCGAAACACCTGCAACGGACATTGCTAACAGCCATGGGAGCAGGCGTCCTTGTCTTCTTCTGGGCCCTGTCGCGGCATGAAGTGGAGGAGGGAAAGAAGCGAAACGATCCGCGTGATTGACGTGGCGAGTACGGACTATGCCGGCTGCACGTGCCACGTCATCTCCTTCTTTCCTCCCGACCGCCATGTGGCAACAGCGGCGCGGCGCATTGGAGTGCCCTACGTGAGTCCGACGCGCGAGTACAAGCGGACCTGCCGACCACGCTCGCGCGATGGACGGTGGGGACACCACCAGGAAGCACCATACTTCCCGTTATACGTGCAGCCTCTCGAGTTGCGGGTCCGACCTGTGGCGGAGTTCTTGAAGTACGAGACACAGGTTCAGGACGCGCTCGTAGATGCGCTGGTGGATGCCGGAGCCTAGGCGGAGACGGCAGTAAACCGACTCAGCTCCAGTATTTGCGTTTATTGGTATGAACTGTCATACACGTACATATTCCCCTTTAACCACAGTCCAGCACCAATCCGTCGTCGTAGTCAAGTTCCTAGGTCTGCGGAAAGCGTACAGGAAAGCGGCACGAAAGCAGGCACCATAGGGAATGGAAGATCGGGAGCAAGCGGAAAAAGATGAACGTCGAGCTCTGTAGCGCTAGAAGATCAAGAGGAGCCGCAGAAGAATTCGCCCCGTGAGTATAGGGAAGAAGGTGTCGTATCTTGTAATAACCAGGATATGCGAGAGTGATGACGACGGCGCGATACCTGAGGGCGGTGAAACGCAAAGGAAAGAGGCCGTCCTCCTCCGCTTTCGCTGACACAGCGCGTGAACGCTGGGATGTAGCGGGAACAGAATTAGTGCAGGATGGCGAAGAGCATCACAGGTATCGGCTCCAAGAGGGACACAGGGAGCTTTGTTACGCCGCATGTTATTGCCCTCAAGTCTGCGATCTACGTCGTAAATAGCCGCTTCTGTGGTCGTCGACTCGGAGTAAGTTGGCGTAACACACCAGCACGCCCGCTTCGCCATCGTACCAGATTGTGGTAGGCCGTCAGCGTCAGCGATAATGGCAAGAGCCAGGCGCAGCGTGTCGCGGGCGGCAACACGCAGTCTTCTATTGAAAGAGAGAGTGTGTCAGCTCGCGCACACCCTGCCGAGAGGGTTACACGCACCTCCGCCCCAGTCCGCCCCAGCGCCAACTCAGCACCCCCAACCCGGACCGCGAGCGCCTCTACCAGATTATCATCTCCAGCCGGCGCTTCGTTGCGTAAGTGGCGCTATTAGAGCGGGATGGTCCTGTAGCATAGGTGGATCCAATATCGAAGGCAGTGATTCTCCCGACTCGCTTGCAGCCCTTGCTATGCAATTTCGAGCCCATCGCGTGAGCAGACAGCGAATGTCGATGGGTGGAGGGTTACACAGGTTCCGGGGACCTCCCGCGAGTCGTGACCCTGCCGCTCTTCAGCACCGCCCATCCAACGAGCCCTCAGATGTACGATGTACTGTTGCACCGAGGGCCGAACACAAGATACGACGCACCATTCGTCGCTTCCCTCCTCTGCTCGATATCCCCCGATTCCCGCTCGCGCGCTGGATTCCCGACCTCAACGCCCCAGCCAGCTCGCCCTCCAGTCCATCGCATAGATATTCCGTTGAAGACACGCTTGTTTTAGCCGTTAGCGCTGGCATTCAAGGGGAGTGAAGAGCAGCGTGTCATGGGCAGAAAGATGGATTTTACTGTTAAAGGTGAGTGCACGTTAGACCGCCGCGGTGGGACGTGGAGTATAACACGCACCTTAAGCGGTACAGCCGTGCGCCCCCAACCCTTGACGCCACCCGGTCCACTGCTACACCAACCCGCGTTGCCCAATCCGTGCCGCCAGCGCACGCATCTTATCTTCACGCGCCGGCAAGGCTTCCCCAGATATCCATCAGCTCATTACCCTCGAACACTGGCGTCTCCGTGCTGCCGGGGGGCTTCGTCGCGGTCGCGGGGCATGAAGGGGAAGAGGGAAAGATGCCAGAGGATCTGCGTGATTGACGTGGCGCGCACGGACCATGCCGTTCGCACGTGCCACGTCATCCGGCTCTTTCTTCCCGACCACCATGTGGCAACGACGACGCGGCGCGCTGGCGGTGTACGGCCTTGCGCATACGTTGGCGGCGTCGAGCGTGGGGTCAAGCACCGCCATTGGCCGATATAGGACGAGGACGCACACAGTCGCTGGTTGTGACCGGGAAGCGAAGGAGATGTGGGTAAACTGGCAGAGGCCGCCTGCAGCGCTGGAGACGCTTGCTTGAACAGTGCGTCATCCCCACACGGTGCTCGTTAGTGCGTGATAACTGATTTTAAAGCGACGCATCTCGGCTTTGCTTGGTGGTTAGTACTGGTTACTGTATTCGCAGGCACCAAAGGACTCCCCGATTGTGAAGCTCCTCGGTCAGCAGCATGTAACCATGCTCTGTCCTGCCCGCTCGACTGTCGGCGTTTCACTGCTGACTCTGGGAAAGCTGATGTCACGCTCTCTTTCCTCGCCGGCATCACTTCTTTTCGTCTCAAACGACTATCGAAGCTCTCGCCTACGCCTTCGGCACTGTTCTTGTCTTGAGCTAAGTCAGGTCGGAAGGCTTCCGACCACCACGCTGCGCCAGTTGCCTCATCCGACATCGAGAGACTAGAGATCAAGCAGCCGCGACACGCGCTCTGACATGTAAGGTGCGGCAAACCAAGCTCGTCTTGCTGCTCTTTCCGACACGTCATCTAGCATGATGTGCTGGCGTCTCGCAACCATGATTCTCGGCGCTTTGACGCAGAACAATGCTCTCGAGGTGTGTAATTTCTCGTCCCTGTATTGTTTATCGCATGTCTAACTGATTCCAGGAAGCAAGATTTCGCCCTTGGCGGTACTCATCCTACTGTCCGTACTGTCCTTCATGCTTGCTGTGTTTGACACTGAGCTGAAAGTTCTTTGCAGAACCCTTCGTCCCTCTGGCGATCATCCTTATTTCCTCGTGCAGCGTTGCCTTGTTCAGCCCAATACCCCTTGTTTCGCCACTAGTGCCAATGATCTCCTGCTCGCTCGGCGGTTCTCAGGCGCAACGGACAGCGAGAGATGGAAAGAGTCTCGGGGCGGGCCACTGGGTTGCAGGTGTGTGGCCACAGTCGTTCTTTCTGCTCTGCCGCTGACGTCCAGCTTTGCAGAGAGTCCGGCTGCAGGCAGGATGCATGAGCCGGAACTACCGCTCTGTATTTCGCCGCGTTGAATCCTTCATTATTTTCCTTATTTCCTCGTGCAGCGTTGCCTCGTTCAGCCCAATACCCCTGAAGCCAGGTGAACATTGGGAGACCAGTGACCGCCCGCCTAATTTTGAAATTCCTGTTACTAATGATACCTCGAATGGTTCGCATTTATTTCTAATGCCCGTATCTCACCAAATACTTGGTCCTTCGCCAGCTTCCGTGCCACGTCCCGAGCCCTAAGCCTACTTCGCGAAACGGGGATCACACTCCTGCGCCGTCCGCTATCGACTCTCCCCACACCGTTGATCTCTTCAATTTCTCCCGGCTCAAGACTGGAGGAGCCGCGCCGTGCCCTCTTAGCTGCCCGCTCACCTTCCCGCGCAGGCCGAGCCTCAACACGGGGAGCGATCCGGTCGAGCAGCGATCCGCTGACGGGCGGAGTCCCAGGCTCGTCGCGGTACCGATCGTCCTGCCGGCGCGTCGCCGCACTGGGCATAACCTTGGTGCGGAGAACGTCCAGCTGCCGCTGGAACACCGGGTTGTAGTCCCACTCGCGCTGGGGCTGCACCGGCTCTGAGTCTGGTTCATTCGGAACGACGTTGTCAGCAGCTGGCCGACACCGCCGGACCGGCCTAGCTCCAGTTTCGATCACCGGTGTCCCCGGACGCTTCCGTATCAAGCGTCCATTATACCCTTTCTCCCATACTTCAGGCCGCGACAGCACGCTCTTCCGCTATTGGCCACCGCCTGTCAGCAACAAGATTCCAAGTCCGCTGAATGCACACACCTCTAGGTAGGAAGCTCTGTCATCGCCACGCCTCGGTTCGCCCACGACAGGTAAAAACACCTTCTTAAGCTTCCCGTCAACCCATTGATACAGCTGCCCTTCCTCCCAACGGCCGTTTGGTTTTGGATTCAAGTTGGCCGCGGCACGGTTCGGTGTGATGGATTCAGAAGTGGCGGGCCGGGTTTCGCCCAATTCGCTGCGCCAGGCCGATACTGGGGCCGCCGGGGCTGACTGTGGGTTCAAGTTTGCTGGGGAAAAACTCGGTATCACGGATTCAGCAGTGGCGGAACGAGTTTTCGCTGGTTTTAGATTCAAGTTCGGTAGAACAGCGTCCAGTGCGGCGGGCTCGGCAGTGGCGGGCCGAATTTTGCCCACTTGGAGGTAGCGCGAGGCCAATGATGCCGAGGCTGTCTTCGGATTCAAGTCCCCTGGGGCAGGGCTCGGCGCCGCAGGTTCGGTAGTAGCAGGACGGATTTTCCGGAATCGGAGATTGCGCAAGGGCGATACCGAGGCCACTGGAGCACTCGCAACCACCGCATTGGTATGCGCATCCGGAGTCTGGGGTAATGCATCGGCAAGAATCGTCTGCGGGGATTCAGTCGCACATGCCGACGAGCGAGCCAAGCAGAGTTGGACTGACATTCATTTCGATGGCTCTTGGCGGCATATCACGCCGGGCGGGGGCCGCCTCCTCTGCGTTTTGGCCAGCTACATTATGATCCAGCACAGCGAAATGCTTTGCAGGAATTGCCACTTCGATCGGTGGAGGCACTTGGGCGGGGGCGATACGCTTCGGCGTCGATGCGGGAGGGCGGGGTAGCTAGAACAATGAGAAAGCGCGCTGAATTTCGAGGGTCGCAACGTACCTCACGGTGTACCTCGTGTTGACCCGGCGGGGAGGACTTGACGACGGGTTGGAGCGCCTTTGAAGGGACAACACAGCCATTGACTAACGGTATCGGGGTCGCTTTCTTTGCTTTTCGCGGAGTTTGAGGAGTTACAGCACCCTCAGCAGACGTTTCAGAGGCAGCAGGCGGATGGAGATGGCGAGACGAGTTTGGTTGTTGAGCCTAGAGACGTAAATAGGCTGATTGATTGGATAGAATTGAACACGTACGGGAGAATCGCGTCTTGGCGTCCGAGGCTGCGCAGAGGGAGCGCCTGCCTTTCCTCTCGTCGGTGTAGATTTCGTCTTCTTTGGCCTGGTTTCTTCTGCTTGCGTGGCCTTTCGCGAGGCCATAACGAGCTGCGCGAAGTGAGAATGCAAAACGAGCAGACGGGAGGATACACACCGGCAGCACCTCGCCCCATACCTCCTGCTCAATCGTCAACCGCTTCTCCCACTCCCGCAGCTCCTCCAGTCGCACAAGCACGTCTGCCGCAGAGCACGAGTGATCCAAGCGGCCCTGCAGCTCGTAGTGCTCCTAATCCAGAGGGTAAAGACCACTTCTCTTTCAAAGAAACGCAACAACGCACTGTCTGCAGCGCAGCCTGATCATCCATCTGGGCCTGTGGTCCCTCGATGGCCTTCAGCGGGTGCGCGCTAAACGAGTCCAGCGCCTTGACACATGATCAGCAGGATCCCCAACTCAGGAAGGGCACGCACGTATCCAATCGCGCGCGCATCTGCCTTTGCCGCGTCGATCTCGATACGCAGTCGCTCCAGCTCAGCAATGACCTGGCCGCCCGCGCTCAGCCTTGCTCGAGAAGTCAGCCTAGGAGCTCACCTCCGCATCGCCCATCGTCGTTGACGCACAAAGAGGGACAAAAGAAGGAGGGACTGTCACACTGGCCCTGAGCATCCGTCACGCTAGCCCTTTTTTTCCGCGAGTTCATTTCCGCAAGTTCATTTCCGCAAGTTCATTTCCGCAAGCTGATTTCCGCAAGTTTGTATGCTGCGGGTAGTCCGCGCGCCGTCGCCCAGACGGATCCCCTTCGGCGGGCTTTGGACTCGCAGGCGGCAACAGGTAGTCCGCTATTGAAAGCGAGGGTGTGTCAGCGCGTCGCACCGTGACAATGGGAATCAGTACACGCACCTCTACCACATAACCGCGGCCTCGCCGCCCTCGACGCCACCCAGTCCGCCTCAGGCCCTCAGCACGCACTCCGCGCTGTCCAATCTGTACCGCCAGCGCACTCCCGCTCCAGCGGCGCCTCCACCAAATGACAGTTGCCACCCGACGGCCACCAGCGTTCGCTGTCCCAACCTGGTCCTCGTCGCGGGCGTGGATGAAGGAGGGGAAAAGAAGCGGAGGGATCCGCGTGATTGACGTCTGCGCACGGACCATGCCGGCAGCACGTGCCACGTCAAACGCTTCTTTCCTCTTGACTTCCATGTGGCAACGACGGCGTGGCGTGCTGCAGTGCGCGTTTGACACGGGCGTGTGGGCGGTGTATGAGGTGGCTTAAGAGCTGCTCCGGGTTGAATGGGCAGGAGGGCAAGGGAATGGACGCTTGCAGGTGGGGATATGGGATGGATGTTATGCGGCGCTGGACTCGGAGACGCTCGCATTCAGGTGCGTGGAACTTCTCACATCCCTCTTTCCCCCACGCTGACGATGTCGTAGCTCTACCCATACTATCCAGAGACGCACGATTGCAAGCCGCACCTCTCCGTCGTCGCGGTGCCTGCTACTAGCGCTCTTCAACGGCATCTTCCTCGTCAACTACCCCACGGCATCTTTTCCCAGCAGCGGGTGCCATTTTTTTAGCCTCTTGGCTTGCACGCGCTGGTCAGGCTTAGTTGTCGGGCTGCCGTTATAATTACCCACTATCAAGAAGCTAGAAGGGCCACGGCAAGAAACATCCGCCTCGCTGACATCTCTTTCGACATACCTCCCTCCGTCGGTGCCCGCTCGAATACTCTCGACGACAACGACAACGGCGGCAACAGATAGGCAGGCATTCACCTCTAATGTTCTGTGTCTGTCATGCTAACTGTCTTGTTTCACCTGCTGCTCCCGTGGGAACGACGACGGCCGCGTTAGGCGCAGGCGTGTCGGCGGCGGTGCTTGATTCAACTGTCTAAGCTTTGCCCTGTCTTGCGTTCTAACTGGTTTTTGACTCGCCTTTGCTTTCTATATCGTCAAGATGGAGGCAACTTGGGACCATCTCTCGCACTTGCCTGCCCTGGTTGCCTCGGCGAGGTCCGCGAAGGGCTCTCGAGGCTCGCTTTCACACTTTTTGAGCGGTTCCGAGTTGTGCGATGTCCCGAAGGCGTACTCACACCGCATGCCGTTCAAGCTTCCACTTGAAGCTTGCTGTCCTATCCTCTATCAATTCCGACTGCGCTTTTCAACTGCACTTTGTTCACGATCCTATATGCGTGTTCAATGCACAGTAGGGGCCTATCCAGGTCTGAGCTGATTTTTGTCCGCATTGCAACTTGAATCGGCCGGCCTTAGAATGTTCTGGGATGGAGCAATGGGCCCGGGAGCCCCCCACCCGCTCGTCTGTCTCCAATTTCTTGCGCTCTCTCTGGCTGCACAACTTGACTGCCGGCGCACGGAACAAGCACTTGCACTCCTCGCTGGGCTGTGTTCTCTAAGCTAACGACCGTCTCCGGACTAGTATTGGGCCCTGGCGCACACGCACCTGCCACGCCGCCGTCTCTACAAGTGTTCAATCTGCAGCAGGTACCTGACAAAATATTGATGTCGGCAGGGTGTTTCTTTTTCCATGCGGCCGCTGAACTTGAATGAACTCAGCTGCTGGCGCGGGTCATCCAAATGCAGCGTGCTCCGGCGGCGTCCTCACTCGTTCTCACCGGCCGCGGCGGCTCTCATCGACCCAACGGGCAATATGCCCTCCGTGTGCGGGTCCCCGGCTCCCGCGCGGGAGATAGGGCAGTGAGTAGTTGTCGTGTGAGTCTACGTACTACTGACCGTCTCCAGCAACACGTGTGCGCCATCTGGGCTGACGACGGAAGGCAGAACTCGAGGAGCACCTGGTTCGACCCAAGCACGTGCCCTGCTGGGAGCCGGGGACGGTGTCATGCTTTTTACCCCCACGGAAACAGCGCGAAGCAAAAGCACAGTCACCGGATACAGCTCCTGCACAGGGAGTCTTATCTTTCGGCGCGCAAGTCCTTTCCATCGCGGTATATTCACAACTCAAGAGAAACCAAAGTGACTATGGCTATGGCTATGCATGCACGTCTACTGAATCAGCTCGCGTCTCGGGCTTTGGCTCGTTGCCCTGCTTCTCATCAGCGGGGTCAGCGACGGCGGGACTTACAGCAGGGGCGGGCGCATCGGCGGCGGCGGCGGGTGGCTGGGCAGCACACTCAGCGCCAACGGCGAGGAGAGATGGGATGAAGGGGAAGGGGACGGACAGCAGCGCCAGCGGCTCCAGCAGCGTTGTTGGCAGCACCGGTACCTTCAGCACCAGCGGCTCTGGCACCAGCAGCGCCTTCAGCAGCCGCAGCTCCAGAGGCCTATGATGTCATCAGCAATGCAAGCCAGAAAGAAAAGAAGACCACGTACACCAGCATTGGCGTTGGCGTTGGCGTTGGCGTTACCAGCGTTCCCAGCGGCGCCGGCCTAGGCACAAAAAAAACTTTTTGTATATAAAAGATTTGGGCCTTATATGGGTGTAAAGACATTGAAAATATAGTGTATACACTCTAGTTTCTATAGCTCACAACTCTCATACTTATATCTATATACTTTCATGCCCAAGAGCTTGGATAGCCCACTCTGTCATAGGCCCATCACCAGGTAATTGATGAGAGATGAACATGTTGAAGGGTTCATATGGCCTGCCATGTGTATTTGAAGGCTTCAGGTACATACATACCTACACATACTGTACTATTTCATTCAATTCTGCGGGCCTGTGACCTGTGACACATGTGGCAGAAATGTGCAATTCAGCCAAAGGCTGAATTTGGTGTGACCTCCTGCCTTATATAGAAGTTCTGCGCGCCGTAGGCGCAAAATCTTTTCAGAAATTACCATTTTGGGACGGTTTGGGACCGAAGAAACTTGCTGTGACCTGTGACAGGCAGAAAATTTTCGGCCAAAAAAGTCAATGTGACCGTGACAGGACTAATTGATTGAAATACTACAGTATACACATACACATGTATAAAAACTTTTGCAAAAAAAAGTTTCACAAAGATTGAATTTTTATCCCATTTTTTGATCGCATCAGTGGTCACATGATCTTGAGAATATATTACCATATATGGCAGGAGAGGGAGGGGGGGGGTCCCCAGAGGGTCAGAAAAAAACTTTCCGACCCTATATCCATGTTTCGAATGTTGAACCCCCCTTGGATGCAATGGCATGTTGACTATCGTGATGCTGATATCGATACCCGTTCTGTTGAAGGCTTGAAGACATCAGTGCTTTTCTCAACAAAATGATGCTACTCACGTCAACACGCTGTTTAGACACCAAACAAGAACACAGAACAGCCTGAGTGCGATTGGCAATTAGCCAAGTGAAACGCGAATAGATCAGACAAACGACGACAGGCGGCAGGAACGTAAGTAACTCCGGTAGATTTAAACAGCGAGTTAATGGCTTGCCGAAGCAACATGCTTCGGAAGCATCTACATACAAATCTATCAGCGCTAGCATGAGACAAGATATCAGCAACACTTCCACTGGGGCAGATATATTTCGCCGCCCTCTGCCGCCCACCAGCCGCCCACCGCCGCGTCACTTACCCTTAGTGCCGCCCACCTCTGTCATGCTGCCGCGGCAGTCACATGCGTGGGTGGGCGGCGGGTGGGCGGCGAAGTACCTGAAATATACCATTCATGTATTCCGCCACCCACCTAGGCGGCTATTGGGTGTTGTACCGCTCCCCGCCACCCACCCTTCTACCTAGCGATGCTCAGGTCCGGTTCTCGGCCACTTTTGGCTGAACCGAGAACCCCGGGTTCGGTTCAAAATCAGGATTTCCCGAACCTGAACGCCGAACCTCGGTCCGAACCGGCCTCTGAACCGGCTTTTTCGGCCTAATTTGGCTGAACCCGGCCGAACTTGGGCCTCAGTTCAGTTCAAAACCGGGGTTGGCCGAACCTGAACCCCGAACCTGGGTTCAGTCCGGTCCGGTTCGGGTTCAGACCGACTTTCCGAACCGGACCTGCCCATCACTACTTCTACCCCAAGTGTTCAATCCGCTGGCAAAGTCAGCGTCGACGTCATGTCACGTCATGACAGGTCACATCAATAACACTTGACATCAATGTTGCCTTCTCCCTCGACTCCCTTCGTTCGAGAATCACTTCTCATTGGCCGCAAACTGACTACATACAATGAAGCACCATCAAATCCTGGACTGAACGAACTGCCCAAACCGTGCAGTGCGCAACATTTGCTTGACGGGTATCAACTCATCATCGGACGGCATACTGGCACGTTTTCGCTTTGGCTCGCGCGCAAGATTCACCTTCTGGGGCCAGGGGCAAGGGGTATGCGTGCATGAAATCCCCGATATTGGGTCGGAAAAGTGGATTAAGGGCCACTAGACACTCCCCTCCCTGTGTGACGTCACACCACATGATTGCACGTGATGTCCCAAAAAGGGAATTCCTTGATGGGCACCAGAAACGGGCGAGAATCTTGTACTACTAATTTTTTCTATATATAGTGTCCCTTCTTGTGCCCTTCACCCACACTCACCCTGCAGACATCATCACAAATCAATTTTAGTTATGACATTGCTATTGCAGGTGTGACTGGGGTGTGACACGGCCATGTCATCACCACCCAAATAGGAAATTGTCATCAAAATGCCTCAGAACAACACCAGAATCTGCAATTGAAGCATAGCTTTGCCAACAGCCATT